GTAGAGAAAGAGGCCTGGGTAAACACCACCTTGTAGTTTCCATTAGACTGTGATTACGTTCTCTGTGCAGTGATACAAGCGAGGAAAGCAAGAGGAAGGTAGAAACTAAGTTAGTTGAGTCCAAGCAGATATAGGGAAGGAAAGGGTCATTTGGTAGGGTCGGACCCAAGTCGGGTCGGACCAATGGCCGCCCTTTAAACATTAAAAAAAGCATAGGATGATGCAAGATGTTCATTAACAATGAACATTTAGAATGCCGATCAAACAATAGTTCATTGCCCACGCCTGGCCACGCACACACTTGCCACCATACTGATCACGCACGCAAAGATCAACCAAAGATGCTTCGCCAGGGATATCTATAGACTCGTTACCGTCCTTACTCTAGAAACAGATTCTCATATCGAGCCTCGCTCATATAGGGACGGGTCACGGTCACCGGTCCAATCAATACCATATCTGAACCGAATGTCCTCACAGTTCTATCAACATCCATAAGTAGGATTAATGCATAGGGGCAAATGAGGCGTTGCTGCAGGCGCTCAGCGCTGCTCGATCGTCCGCGCGCGACGCACTCCGAGTAAATCAAGCCCCTTAAGCTTTGAGGTAGATGGAGCTTCCACTTAACGCTACCCGCCGGACCACAATACCCCGCAATCTTGCCCGATTCATATGAAGATGCCGTACTTTACTAGCTGCTGCCGCCGCAAGGCTGACTGGTGACCTCTATTTCCCCTTGCCCCTGTGAATCAGTAAGATGCCACGACGATTGAGTCTGTTAGAGTACTTGCGGTAGTGAGGCTAGCCTGGTCCGAATATAGAACCCGCCCTTTGTGGGCCGGTGTGTCGTTCATCTGTACCTGCTATTGTTGATACTATCGTTGGACCTTACCATAGTTCCCTTCTTGGTAAGGTAAGCACCATTTACCATTAACTGCAATAACTCACCTATGTTTTCAGACCTATGCGGTCATTTTCACCTCGCCCTCAGGCCTCATCAGCGAATCGCGTTGCTGATGATGCCACGAGAATACTGATCCTACTGCATCTGCGATGTCGGGCAGCAACTCCTCCCCTATCTCGATTCTCCTCCCCGAAGGCTATCAAGAGCCGTGCCGCGCAGAAGCTCGAACTCGATGCAGTGACTCCTTGAACCATTGCATATGCTGCTGTCGTGGTATGTGATCTTGCTCTTAATTGATGCATCACTCACTTCACCAGCTGCACTCCTCGCTGGCCCATGCCCCTCAATGGAAGCCGAATTACCACACTTCAATTACGAGCTGACAAGCTGTTCCATAATTTTATCATGATTATAGACTTTTTTGAGGACGTCGAGGGACCCCTGTCAATGCCTTGCCGAAGTGGGGGAACAAGTACATGCTCTCTCTGGAGCAGGTTAAGCCAACAACCACCATAGGCAGGTCTTTGCCCAAACCGTTGATGCCGTTGTGAATGCACGCGCCTCAATCAATAAGCTTCGCACACAGCGTGCCAGGCGTGAGGCCCCAATTATCACTAATTATTCAGTAAATACATATATTGAATATCTGATATATCTGAATCCAATATGTTACGTTGCTTCAGTACAAGTCCCGACTATTTTAATTGTCCATCTCAAGCAAGCTTTAATGTATGGGCCACCAGTTATTCCCTCCATTGGCGAGGCGTTATAATAATTTCTCGGACGTATATAACGCTACCTGCTCCACTCATAATTTTAACACTTGTTAACGCAATCTTGTACCAAAACAGTCTCCGAATGTGAAAAAGGAGCGTCCGTTAGGGTTATGGCAAATGATACCACTTGTATCTAGTTCTACCTCCAATATTATGAATATAAGTACTTGACGGAATTTTTCAGAATACCTGATGTAAGGGCACGTTTGTTGGCCGTGTGAGCCACACCCCTCCCACAGACTTTCTGCAGCATCGAGCAGCAAACATACTTTTAGACTTCAAGCGATCTCAAGGCAGAGCAGATGTCACGTCGCTGGATGAAGTGTCGATGTCGATCTGAGATTCTGAGATATTCTGTACTAGTTCTCAATAACGTTAGACCCTGGTGGGCTTAACTATAAAAAATAAAGACAATACTCACAGCGCCAATGTGGCTCAATGGTAGAGCATTGCTTTCCTAAGGCAAAGGTTGTGGGTTCGAGCCCCATCATTGGTTGATTTTCCAAATTTGCCTTTCTAATTTTGATTCGTTTTGCTGCATTCTTGAATGCGGGTATGCCCAGCCTCCGATCGGCTTCAAGATCCATTAGTGCGTACACTGTACGTAGTATCCAGAGACGGAACACAGATGGTGGAGGCAATCGCGATGTACGTTGAGTGTATCAGGCTGATTCCGAATGTAGTGCAGATGTTTTATCAAAATTCACTTATTGATATTGGTATCCTCACTGAGTGCCTCAAGACTTATTCTGCGACTGCAAGCATCGACTATCTATCCTTGAGGGGCTCGTACATATAGCAGGGGAGGCATCCAACGACTTTCGCTACACCCTCCCGCACCAAGATGGATGGATTAACGTAGTGCTCATGAGCATTGGGGGGCCTAGTGGAAGTTAACGTTAAGGCTGGAGGGGACATATATTAGTATTAGCATGATGCGTTGAGGTAAAAAGTTCAGCGACCGACTTCAGACAGTTACTAGACGGCTCGTAACAGTATGCGTCTTCGACGTATCCAAGCGGACAGGGCTCCCGGTCCATTTATCATTCCACCAAGGATGCGAGCGCGTGCGGCGAGGACATGGACAGGAGGGCAGGGGCATCGTCATTGTCCCTGACAGCCAGTGAATGTCTCCTCGGGGGTGCGAGCCTGAAACGAAGCGTGGTCGCGAGAATCTACACTGCAGTGGAGGGACAAGCCTTGACTGGCCAAGTTCCTAGACAAAGGGTCTGAACGCCGGGTACATACGGTAACTGCCCCAAGGGTCAAACTCGGAGTGAGATGGAGGGTCTGGACCTAAAGGAAAGAACTACATGCCATCGAGAAGAAGGAAATGTGGGACATATCCACGCTGTATCCGCACAAATAAAGCTACCAGGTGTCGACGAACGTCAAGTGCAGTGCTTCCTCGCGCCCACATGCTCTGAAACATCGGTCCCATTACACAAACGTTCCTCATAAGTGTGCCATATACAGCACCGAATTCTTTCATCCGGGTCACACCCCAGAATTTCCCAAATTCTACCTTTTTGGTGAGATACTTATTCTATTCCTCTGGGGCAAGGCTGAGTAGGCATTGAACATGATCCATAGAATCTGGAGCCACAGAGCAGCTGGTCGCAGAACGAAGTTGGAGATGTAGGAGTCGGTGATTCCATGTGACTCTCGATTCTGCTCGCCACGCGGTATACAGGTTCAGTAATGATATGAGATTCTGCAGACACGGAGTGTTCACACCATTCATTATACACAAAACTACGTAGAATGGAACCAAGGACAATTGAGCAGCGATGGTAATAGCTGATGGTAAGTATATAGGAAGATAGCGCCGGAGAAATAACTGTACAGGGAAGAAACGGATGATTCCCAATGACTTTGGAGGTGTCGACAGGGGCAATTCAAGCTACCGATCGACATCACGTCAATACTTCTACTCCAAGGGGTATCAGCTGGGGTTTCGATCGAGAATCGGCGTGATACGTTACATAGAAGCAAGCGCAGGCGAAGCGGGTGAAGAAAGCTGAAAGCCTAATTCGAAGCTAGGTAGGTCGAAGGTGCGCAAAGACGTTACGCACGAAATTTCTAGGCGCATACACCCAAGGTCATTACAATTATGCTCGCTGGTGCTCTTAGACTATTTAGAGCTCCGAGGACAAACCCAGACAATGGAGCGAGACAGTTTTTCTCGGGGTTCGGAAAGCAATTGGAATTGCAGTGGGTCGGCGGCGGTCGGAGCACCTAAAGGAATCATAAATACGTTAGATATCAGGCACAGGGGTGAGTGAGCGGAGTCGTTCCCATGGCCATGATGAAGTCGTATTCCAATTGAAATATAATGCATCATGATGCATGATGCATAGACCCACCTCGAAACGAGAGTCTCTCGCACACGTATTGCATGTGTTCCTTTACTGATAACAATAGATAACCAGGATCAAGACACCAATAATTCTAATGACAGTTGGGTGACAGGACTGACCTTGAAGGTTAGTACCATCATCGACATGATGGTTGAGACGCAAAGTGATGGCAACTCCTCAACCTGTCTCGAATTTGGACAGGAAGATTGTGCCCATGTATGTCCATGCGTTCGTCACGTGCCACACAGATGTTTTCCTAGGTGAATTTTCTGTATGGTAGACCGTAGAACTTATATGAATTGTTTTTGGTTTGATGTGCACTCAATAGACCGTTTAACATACCGTACTTGAGGTTTTATATGCAGACGCTGGCATACAAGCTGTTGGTGCGAAGGTAAAAATAAATACCGCAAGCAAAACGCAAATGCACGCAACTTGCAAGTCAACTTCACATGCACGCGACCCCACTCGACTACTCACAAATGGATGCAGATTTACGCAGAACAATACACCAAGACATAGAGCACACAAAGACATTTGACGATATATGCCAAAAGCAGAGATGAACATCGACGACAAATCGACGATCGGGGATCGTTTCTTTCCACCTACATTGGATTGACGGTGATGCGTGAAGCATTCATCTACTAAGTATGGATGGTAAGGAATGTTCAATGAATTTCTAATAATGGGGACTTGGACTGACGTGCGCAAACGCAAATCCCTGAAGATCTCCACGCAAGAAGTGAAATTGGTACGCAAATTCTTACCCGTCAGCGAAGAATTCGGTGACACACAAATTTCGCGGGGCCCGTTCGATTTCTTTTTAGAAGGTACTAAAACTAAAGGACATCGATGTGGAGATTGAACCGCGAACGGACGACACTTTACCCAAACACGGATTGCTTCCATTTTATTTCCATGTTCTCAAGGAATGAAATTAAAACAAGAATCAAAGATCTCTCTGCCTGGGAGTCGAACCCAGCTTTCGCGCGGAACGCCTACACATGACAGGCGCGTGTACTAACCGATATACTAGCAAAGACGATGCGTGATCCGTCTGATGTATGCATACGGCTTTCAGAAGCGCAGTCGGTGGGAAGTCAAAGGACATAAGAGACGCTCAACCATCGTACCGCCGTTGCTCGATCGTTATTTGTTACTTCATCGAATTAAAACAACCTATAAAGAAGCCGAGTCAGCGAGACATACGACATAGTTGCGATGAGGGCGAGTGAATCCATCATCGAATGCTATGACAAGCCTTCTTGAAGGCCCATGCGTACATCAGTGTCTCAACGGCGAGGGCGTGGAGTGAGTGTTGATTTCTGCCACCGCATGAAAGACTTGGCTCTGCAGTTGGTCCTGCAGTCCAGAACAAGATGTGAAGTTGATAAGATCCAGGCCCACCTATGATATACCCTAATGGAGGCCGATCAAGTTAAAGGCTAGTGAACCGGCTTCCAAAAAAAAGTACCATCTTGTCTGTTACCGAGGCCGGATAAGTCACCAAATTCCGCATGAAGGCGGAGAGTTAACAAGGGCTTCAGGAATCAGGCTGCAAGGCTTGAGCGTTTGAAGACGGGCTTCGAATGTAAATGGGTACACCGGGGACAATCTTTCCAGAGATGTCATCGCTGTTCGTGATTGGTCCGGCATACAGCGGCGATGGTCTGAGCAAGGGCCTGAGGGAAATTGACTTGTGTCGGAAGGATGGTAGAAAGCCGTAGCACTGAGGTAGCATCCAAACGGGCGTTAAACGTTCAAAAACGTGCAACGGATGGAAATACGCAGCTATGTAGCATTCAAAAGATCGTATAGACCTCGGGAGACAACAGAACACCGACGCTGTTGGTGGTGAACGGATGTAGCAGTTAAAGCGGTTCTCAGCCCAATTGGAAAATTCATATCCCTGAAGTTAAAATTTTGAGACGTTCAAGGTACAGCAAAATATATACATGCGGCCTGTAGTGAAGATTAAGAGAGAGGCTGCCTGAGACTTACAATGACATATCGACATTAATTTTCCATGCTGAAGGTTCGACGTATCACGGTCCGCATCGGACGCGCTTTGACAACAGGTAGAGAGACAGATTCAGAATTCTGGACCTCTGATATTCATAAGATTGGCCTTGGTCTGAGGATTCACAAGCGAGGGCGTGTTGCGGGAGACGGAGGTCAGGACTCGTACTCAGGAGCAAGCATGATTGATGAATGGTTCCACCATCACCGAATCCGGCGATTTGCCCCAACATTCGAAACGAATGCGCCTGAGGCTTTGAGTTGGCCCGAAGGACTGCATGACTTCCGTCCCTAGTTATAAAGGACCAAGACGAGTGACATGTTTTTTTTTCCTGTATCACGAATCATGGATGTCGGTGGCTTGATCACTATTCGCATATGATGCGTAACTATATGGCTTGGAAGTTTGGAACCGGGACGCGGTTTGCGCCCCCTACTGAGAGTGGCAATCCATATATAATTCAGATGCGGTGGCAGTGGGGCGGGATGTCGTTTCACTCTGACATAATGCTAGCTATGATTTGACCGTCGATCCTGAGTAAAACGTGACAAGGAAACCAATAATAACGGCGCGGCATCTGTATTTGACAACTTGTACAATCTATTACAATATGAGCAATCACCCTATGTCAAACAGGACTCTACGTGGTGTGATGAATACATGGGAAGAGCATGCTTAGAACCCGCTCATAACAGGCGGGGGTATTGGAGATTTACTGAGACTTGGTACTCTTGACGCGATACTGGTCAGCGGGGCGGCGCATGGCTTCACCTTTCTTGTCGCGGTAGAAGAGGACATCGCCTAGAAGAATCAGAGCTGTGAGTTTCGGTGGATGTCGGAAAATCGACGGGAGCACGAACCCTCATTCTCGACAAACTGGCACTTGTTGTAGTTATCCCAAAGGGCCTTGAAGGCGGGCTTGTCGGAATAGGCGTAGTGATCGCCGATAAATGCCTTGAGGTGCTGGGTAGCCTCAGGTCCGTGGTCTGGAAGAATTTGATTAGAAACCTTGGCCCATCGAAGATAGAAAGACATACAGAAAGGCATTTTAGGGAAGAACTAGAAACAATGAACGATAAGCCAAGGCCGCAAGAGAGGAAGGTCTACACGTACGTGGTGAATGACGTGGAAGTGAGCGACATCGTGAAGGAAGAAGCGTCCCTGCCAGCCGAGGAAGTTGCGGTCGACGGTGGCAGCAGCGCCGCGCTGGAAGTTCCACTCCTTACCACGGTAGTGGGGCATCTCGGGGTCGGTGTGGTGAAGGTAAGTAATCATGATGACTGCAATGAGTGATTAACGTCGTGAATGAAAAGAATAAAAAAATTGAGCACATACACCAGTGGGTGACCTCGAGCCAGGGGATACCGTAGTACTTGAGAACCTCCCAGGCACCGTAGACGGAACTGGCGTAGCTTACACCCCAAACCATGGCAGCGATACCAATGTTGGACATGATGACGGCGTTCCTCTGAGCCTTGGTGAAGAGGATGGAGTTGGCTGGAAGATCATGAGGTCATTGATAACTGTCCTCAAGGCAAAAAGAACAAAGTCGCTTACGATCGAAGTGGTTAGTCCACTTAGGGTAAGTCTTCTGCCCGGACACGTTGAAAACTGCGGGGTACGTGAGTGCAGTTAGAGCGTTGATCGAATAGCCATGCGCAGGCTGGGATCAGACGGGAAGGCACTTACGGAGGTATGCAGGAAAGGCGAGGACTTGTTGCCGGATCAACATATAGAGTGTGTAGATAGGTGTGTCTCCGAAGATTTCGTCATAGTCGATCTCGTGGCCCTCGATCTCGTCGGGGATTCCGAGATCCTCGCGGGTCTTAGGAACGTAAACCTCATCGCGCTCCATCGAGGCGTGATTGCTGTGGTGGCGATGATGAGAGATCTTCCAGGAGAAGTAAGGCGTCCAGAGGAAGGTATGGGTCACCTGGAGAAGCGGTATAAGAGGCTGAAAGACTTGGTGAATGTTGATTGACTTACGAAACCGAGGATGTCGTTGACAATCTTGTGGTCGGAAAATGCACCGTGTCCGCACTAAAATAAGGTTAGGAACACGTATCTGGAAGAAAGAAGAATGATACAAACTTCATGTCCGATAACCCAAATACCAGTGAAAATGAGACCTTGGAACCACCAGCTGAAAGAGCGCGTCAATGTGAGAGCTAAGCCGAATAGTAAGCTCGCTTACTATACACCCCAGGCGGCCCATCGAGCGACTTCTGCTCCGATCGGAGTAAGAAGCCCACGTGTAGCCGGCTGCTTGAAGTAGGGATCAATGTTGGTCGCAAGCGACCAGACTACAGCGGCCATTAAGACATCCCTAGCAAAGTAGAGGAGTCCTCGAGGAGTATCTCTAACGAAGAACTGGCTGGGAATTGCGGCTCTGATCTCCTTGAGAGACCTGAGACAGACGGCGTAGATTAGATTAGCTTTTAGTGGGTGTCTGTGACAAGGCATACCAAGGCATGGGGGTGTAGGCGGGCAGCGCATCTTCGGAGTATTTTTCGACGGTCGAGGCACCCATGCTGTAGAAGATCTATAGCAGGGAAAGCAACGGGGGAGGTGGGTCCGCGGCGGGTGGTGAGGCATCCAACTGAAACCTCTTGAGTATTTATGTTGGGTCGCCTTTCGAAGGTCAACAAATAGAATATTTTCCAAAGTGCGATAAATGTACATCGAGTGACAGTTTGATCCAAAGGGGAAGCGCAGAGGTGTCACCTGGATCCAGTTAATTCCAAGCGGGCGATGCGACAGAGATCCGAGATCGGCCTTGAAACGATGAAGTGGGAGAGCAGTCATCAGAGCCAAGTTGAGCACATGTAATTGAGGGACCTACGTAGGAACCTGGTAGGACGTAGAGTTTTGAAGGGACGTCAATGACTGCGCGCAACGACTTGACAGGTTACTGGTAAAATGGATGATTTTCGTAATTTACCATGACTTTGCCTCGAGGACATGTTCTGATAGTAGGTCATAATTTTTTCTACCGATTATGTGTTAGTTAGTCAGTGTTGCCGTTTCCTTCAGAAATAATGTTGCCAAGTGGTACCCTGTGGTACCCATGCGGTGACTATCGGTCGTGAGAGCGTTATCTTCGGCGCGTAACAGTAGATTGTAGACAGGAAGTAAGAACCAGAGTAAAAAACAGGAACCAAGTGAGAATATTGAGCAGGCCTCGGTAACTAAACCCTTTCTCCAAATTACTCGGCTTCGCAGTTTCGGGGTCCTTGACGCGTAAAATCATTCTCACGTGTGCTCATTCCTTCTCTTCTACGTTCCTCAGTGAGACTTGTGATTGAAACTTCAAAAGCCAAATGGATACCTGCCAAACTGCGAACTCCTGATGGATACTCTGTTTATCTAGAATTTTCCCGGTCCGCGCGCTCTGCATTAAATACGTGTCTCCCACAATCTGAGTGCTCCCCACAACTTGCCCTCAGCTCTGCCAGGGACTTTGCTCTCAGTGGATTGCTTCCTTCTTTCATTCTATATATGTTGTCGCTATTTGAAGACGGGCCTGAATACAAGGCACGGCTCCAGAAGCCTTTCGCTCCCACAAAGGTGAAAATTACGCTTTTATTAGTGCCTCATCAAGTACTGATTCGTAGCTAATCAGGTCACTCTTTCGGACGTGCACTCTGTAATTCCCAAGCACCTGCACGAAAAAAATACGGGCAAGGCTTTGCTCTACATTTTTCGTGATGTAGCTTGTGCCATCGCCGTCTACAAGCTTGGTTGGCTGATCGATCCAGCTGCCAAATCGCTTGTCCAGGACTATGGGGTCTCACAGATGGCAGGCACCGCTATCAAATGGGCTCTCTGGGCTCTCTACTGGCACTGGCAGGGCGTAATCCTCGCCGGTTGGTGGTGCATGGCCCACGAGGCCGGACATGGATCGCTCTCGAAACACCAGTGGTTCAACCACGTCGTCGGTTTCAGTCTTCACACCGTACGTCGACGCCATTTCAGCCGTTATGCGAACCCTAGCTTATTTATGTCAACAGTTTATCCTCGTG